CTTATATGAACTCCAGAGTGTTTTATAGCCAGGGAGGGAGACCAGAGTCTGGAGTCTCTCCTGTAAAACTGGCTGCTGGTTTGTTTGACCAGGCATAGGAATAATTGTGTATTCCTTGGGGCTGTCCTTATGGACAAAGGTTTTTTTATGTGCCCTGGGTTTATTCAGTGTATCTCCAAAATTATGGAAACTGATGTCATTGAAATGCCAGGGGTGCCAAATGCTTTCCCCAGGCAGAGCTCAGAGCCAGCCCTGGGGGAAGGCGTTTCATGCCCATTTCCCCAATCCCTCGAGGCAGCACTATTGGGAAGGATGAATTAGGAAAACCTTATAAATACGAGTGCCTAGCAAAAGACTGAGAATATGGAAAATATAAGCGAAATAGAAATGGTAGCAATTTTCGACTGTGTGGCTGAAAGCAACTGAATGCCTGAAGGCCCCTTTGTTTAGATAATGTTAGATGCTGCAAATACCAAGAAGCAAACAGACATCCTCCCTAGGCATGGCAGGAAGGGTCCCAGATAAAATTTAGAGACAAAAAAACCAGTAAAACATGGTAATATGGTGATTCCTATAGGTTGCATGCAAATGTTAGAGAATTTGTATCTTGTATTAGATTGGTTAGTGGGAATTAGAATATTCAACATAGAAGAAGATTTAATGTATTGTAAATGGGATAATCTCTCTCTTATGCTCTTACTCTCTTCGTTCTTACTTTCTTAAGTTCTCTCCAGCTTCTTCTTTTCCTCTCACTCTATCCCTCTCTCTGCCCTGCTCTGAGCTGTGGCTGCAGTTCCTAGAAGTGCCTTATATATACCCACGCCCTACGAAATAAACTGCAAACTTTAAGACCAAAATAAAGAGAGCGCCTGAGTTTATCCCGACGGTCCCAAAGCAGAGATTCCTACACAGCAGCACTGGAGCACTTGCACCCAAACATGCCCGAGGTGCTGAGCGCTGGCAGGAGGCAAATCCAGGGACTGGACAGTGGGAGTTTGCACTGCTCCTGTAATCCCAGACTAGAGCTGTGCTTTAGAGCTCCCAGGAGATGCTGCCTCACTCAAACCCCATTCAAAGCTCAGCATCCCCTTCCTTGGAATTATTGTTGTTCCTGTTGCTCTTTCCCAATACCATTATGATTATTACTGTAAATTCCCACTCCGTTTCTTCCATAACCCTTTGCTTCCCAGAAGTGGTGCTTCAGGAAATTCTCTCCAGCCTGGGAAGGTGCTTTTGGCTCCAGACATATTCCCAGTCCCCAGGAGCAGCTGGACCCGTGCTGTCCCCAGCAGGTGAGGCAGAGGTGCCTTTCCTTCCCTCCTTCCCTGCTGCACTTTGGCTTCTCAAGGGGTCTCTGGGGGTCTGAGGGGAAAGTTCTTTGTCATTCCAGGGCACAATAAGCTCTGATCCCACGAAAAGCAGGAGGAATAATTTTATCCTTGTTTTTGGACACACATTTTGTTTTTTCTCTCTTTTGCTGACACCGTGTGGTGAAGCAGCAGCTCCCAACCTTGTCAGTGCTGCTCCCTGGAATAGCTTCTGTTTGTAAAACAATTAATTCCCTGCTGCAATCCCAGGCACAGCCCCCCAGATCAGTGTGCAGTTTCAGGTCTTACACCCTGACAGGAAAACTTCCTGTCTCTAGACATGGAAAATAGGGGAAAACTCAGACTGGACTGGAGCCAGAAACCAGAATGAGTGAAGGTGAGGCAGCTTGCTCAGCCCAGGCTGGGGATGGCACAGGGGCTATTCCCTGTTGGATGACACCCACGTGGAACAGATCCTTCCCCTCCTCTGTCCAAAGGCCAATGACAAAGCATGGAATAACTCACAAGTGGGGCCTGGAATGAAAATGGTTCTGTTAAAATTAGGCAAAGAATGCAGTAAGAAAAAATGGGCATCCTTTACATGTATGAAAAAATGTTGAGAAAGGGCATTTTGATTTGGTACCACCTCTCATTTTTTATGAATAAAACCCTACAGTGAACAATCAGAACAGAAGTGGGAAAGCCAAGAGCCTTTGCCTTCCACAGTGGATTTAATTTCTGTTTTCTCTTCTCTTTCAGGACAGGAAAACCCACTTAACTTGTCCTGTCTTTGCCAAGAGCTTTGGTGTTTGAGCAGCCAAACCCCAGAGGCTCCAGCCCTGCTGGCCTGCACTGGAAAGCCCCTGGTCCTGCCCGTGGTGTGGAGTGAGTCCCCAGCTGTCCCCAGAGTGTCCCAAACCCAGAGGGACCTGCCCTGGTCCCTGCAGTCCCCAGAGCCTGGGACACAGAGAGAGCCCTGTCCCAAGGGGCAGGAATGTGGGGCAGCCCTGGGAGCAGCTGGAGATGAGAACTGGGGCAGTATCTGAGACTGATCCAGGCCAGGTCAGCGTTTATCTGGAGGGGTTTGGCCCCACAGGCTGAGTTTAAGCAGGATCAGGGTGACAGATGCTGCATTTTGTGCATCCTGGGAGTTTCTATGCCCCCTGGAGATTTCCTGCCGTGGCAGTGCAGGGAGCAGAATTAAACCTGCACCTCCCATGGGCATTGCTGGCCTTTGTCTCTCTTTTGTGCCACCAGACTGGGGGAATTTGCTGCTGTCCCTGCCAGCCCCACACACCAGCTCCAGAGTTGCCCCTGTGCCGTGCTGGGACTGTTTGCTGGGAATGTGCCTCATCCCTGGGGGGATCCTTTTGTTCCAGAGCAGCCAGACAGAGCTTTTGGGCTTGTCAGCTTCAGAGGTTCATTGCAAAAGTCCCTGAAAGGGAGAAGGACAGGGAGGTTTGTCAGAGTGGTGCTGTCAGACCCCCCTGACAGTCTTTGTGTGTGAGGTTGTTGTGTATTTGCACTGCAGGGAATCAATGTCCCCTTCCCAATTCAGCCCAACAGATCCCAAGGGCTCTTACAGGAATATTTATCCTTTGCTTCTCTTTGTGATAACTTAATCCCCACCCTGCCATGAGCAATTCCTTGATTTCTCCTGGAGAAAACCTCATGGCAGAGGCAGTTGACAAAGGAGCCCAGAGCTGTGTTTGGAGCTGAGTGCTGAGAGCTGCTTCTGCCTGTGCTGCCCCAGCCTGGCAATATCCACATGGAACAGACTGGGAAAATGGGACTAGATGGAGCAAAATCCCTTCATGGAAGAGGTTTTCTCCTGTACAGATCAGGCATGGGGCAGGAAATGAACTTTGAAATCAGCTGATTTCCCCCAGAAATCATCACTCACATCAGCATGAATTACATGACCCGTGGCTACCACTCATGATTCACCCAACCAAAATCAAGAGCAAATGTTGGTTTGGGTTTGAGAACTTGAAATAGCTTTAAAACAGAATAAATCACCTTTTTCTTCTTCTTTCTTTCAGATGCTGGACTTGCCTCTGTGGATGTGTGCTGAGCTCTCACTGCAGGGAACTGCCAGGTCTTACTGGCTGTGAGTTTGTGTTCTTCTCACTGGGGAATTGGAAATAGTTATTAATTAATTGCAGAAAAGTTTTCTGAAACTTTTCCCCTTTCAGCCCCGCTGTGTGGGACCAGGGCAGAGGGAGGGAGCAGAGGAGCAGCAGAAAGGCTCAGTGGGCACAGGGACCTCCCTGTGTCACCAGGGCACCTGTGGGAACAGAATGGACACCGTGAGGGAAAGTGGAGGTGAGGAGAGAACAGTTTGGGGCAAAACCCGAGTTCATCTGCAGGGAAATAAGTAGGGGATATTTTGGAGGGAAAAGCTGAGGGGATCAGTTCACCCACCTTGGCCCAAGTTGTGTTTGCACAAAGTGGAACCAGAGGTCAAGGTCAATCCAAAGCCAACCCTGCTAAACGTCCAAGTTCCAGAATAAATTCTACAAGCTGCCCATTGAGGGACTAAAAATACATAAAAATGGAACCAAGAGCACTAAGAAGGCTCCTGGGAATCCCATTACAGTGATGCCACAGCATTTTTAACAGAACTTTAATTTTTTAATGACAATTTCTCTGCTGGGATTATTCACTCTGTGGGCCTTGGGGTTTATCTGAACTCCCTCACAGTGGCCCTGGCACTGCTCAGGAGCTGGCAGGAAAAGCAGAGTCAGAGCTCCTGGCAGAGGCAGGCTGCTTTCCCCCAGAGTGGATCCAGCTGCTGCCCACCAGCCTGGCCCGGAGGGATCTGCTTTGGCTCCTGCAGGTAAAGAATGCCTGGAGTCGGTTCAGATGAGATTCCAGCAGCCTCATCCCCGGCGCTTCCCGGGCAGCCGATCCACCCTCCCGCCCTCCTGCTCTCAGCTCCCGCCCAGCCGGGACCAGCCCGCAGCCGAATTTTCCCTCCAGCAGCAGGGGAAGGACACGAGCTCCCACCCTGGCACTTGGATTGGCCCTCTGGGGGATGCTGGCTGGGATTTAGATCATTCCATACATTTGCTGCAATTTCCCAGCCCAGGGGTTTTAGCTGACACGGCAGCACAAAGATTGTTCTCTGTGTGGTGCCCAGATTTGGGGTTCAGCATCAGCTTTGCTAGTTCAGATGAATTATACCCACAACCCCAAATTCCCTGCTGAATTCCTGCTGGAATAACCTGGCAGTGCCTCATGGAGCCTGGATATTCCCATGCAGAGCTGCCACTGAACACCAGCTGTGTCAGGAACCAGCAGAGGTTCCAGGGAAGCTCAGTGGGACTGGGACAAGGACAGGTTTATATTCCATAGAATTTGCCATTTATAACCCTCATCCCCCAGCCCTACCGATGTCCCCGGGGGACACTTCGGCTGAATTCCAGGGACCTCTGTCATTTTCCCTCCCCTCCAGCTCAGGTTTCAGTTGATATTTTAATCAGGAGAAGGAGGTGGCTGGACAGGCTCCCGGCTGTGCCCAGGGGAGGACATCTCTCCCTGCACAAGCTGAGCTCATTTCAGAGCCTCAGGAGTGGCCTCTGCAAGTTCTTTTCCCTGAGGAAAGGGATGCACATCCCTGCTTTCAGCACACCTTCAGTGGGACCCGCCTGTGAAAGCTTTCCATCAGTTCTGTAGTTCCAGCTGGCTCCCTGAAAACTCTGAACTTGATCCAAACAAAACTTCATCCAACTCTAACCTTTCATTTTAAGGCATCTCTGAGGGCTATTGCTTGGGGTTTAATTTCTGTATGAGGGAAGATTCCCTTGGCTTTAACAGTGCTGATGGATGATGTGTCCAGGCTGGAAGGGAAGGGATTTGGGGTGGGTGGGACATACCTGGGAGTGTGCAGGAGCTCTGGGAGGTCAGCACCAGGAATTGCTGTCTGAGCCCCTCTGCAAACCCACCCTGCTGACATTCCCAGGTACTGCCAGCTGTTCCTTGGGGTAATTTTGGGGTGTCAGTGGGGTCTGCCCAGGCTGAAGCATCACCAGGTGCCTGTTCAGGGCAGCCCCTGGCCCAGGAGCTGTGGGCAGCCCTTTATCCACATCCATGCCAGCACTGCCCAGGAATCCCAGTGCCCATCCCCGGGATGTGTGCTTGGCACGCTGTGCCACGGGCAGGACACTGCAGGCACAGCTCCTCCCCTGCAAACACCGAGGACAAGAGGTGCTGGTTCCCTTTCTGGGGCTCCCAGCCTCCTCCTGCCCCGCATTCCCAGCCAGCTGGGACACACTGAGGAAACACCAAGGAACGTTCCTGGCAGTGAGTGGCAGTCACTGAGGGCTCCGTGCAGCTCTGGGCCTGAAAGGCAGTGCCAGCCTCAGCTCCTGCTGTGATTTTGGGCTGTGAACACTCACCTGCAGCAAACGCCCCTCTGCAGGCTGGACCAGCCCTGACACTCTCCAGAAGAACTGAGCCAATCTCAGGGTCATGAGGAAGGTCCTGCCTGGGGTGGGAACAGCTGCTGCCAGCAAGGGAATTCTTACGCTAATGCAGCTCCGTTTTTTCGGTTAATGCTGTTACACACCAGCCCCTAGAATGGCTCTAGAGCAGAACTGGCTGGTACCTGGCTTGACAGCAAAAAACTTTTGTCATAACTCTGGTTTCCCACCCTTTTCAGGATTTACACAACAGCAGTAAAGATGCTCATTCCATGTTCCTTTCGAGAAGAAATGTGCAGGCTAAGTCCTGAGGGTTCACTTGGTTCATGGCCAGAGGTTTTTCCATTGGAAAGTGCGAGCCACAGAGAAAGTGGGGGAGAGGAGGGAGAGCATCAGGTCTCACCCGGCAGGTGCTGGGCCCGGGGCTCGGTTCGGTGCCTCCGGTTCGGTGCCCTCGGGGGTCCCGGCCCTGCCCAGCAGGGGGCGCTGCGCTCGCACCGCCGCACGGTGTCCGCCAGGGGGCGCCCCACGGGGCGGGCGGCGCTGAGGGAGCGGCGGCGTCGGGGGGTCCCGGGGCCGGCACGGGCGGTCCCCGCGCCCCGCCCGCTTCCAGCCGCGATCCAGCGCCTGCTCCGGGAACCGCCGCCCTCCGCCAGGCACCGATACCGGCACTAGCACTGGCACCAGCGCAGCCCCAGCGGGACCATACCTGGATCGCCTACGAGACTGCAGCCCCGTGTCAGGCTCGACCCCAGCGCCCGTCCCGGAGCGGCTCCTCCCGCCCGCGGCCATCCCGGACCCCATCCCAGCCCAAATTCCCCCATCCCGCCCGCCGAGAAAGAAGTGGCTCGGCCCGAGACCCCCAGCAGACGCCGGCAGGACCCGGACCTGAATTCCTGAGCCCGAACCCCGGTACCAGCCCCACCTCAGCGCCCTGGGCTCAGCACAACGCTCCAAACGCCGGTCCTGCTGCAGCCTGGGCTGAGAATCCGCCGGCATTTATGGGCGAGGCCGGCACAGGTGTGAAGGGCGGGGCCGGCACAGGTGCGCGGGGCCCCAGAGCGGCTGCGGGGGTGGGGCCCAGGGGATTTAAGCCCCGGGAATTGCCTTTGGGGCCATTTGCCCCTCGGCGCTCGGAGCCGGAGGCTGTGGCCGGGCCGGGTGGGAGGGTTGGGGAGGGCGCTCTCTCCAGCCCTTTCCAAGCCCCTGCCCTGAGCTGATGGCCTTTGCTTTGCACCAGGGGCCACCCCAGCCATTGTTCCCCCTGGAATATCCCCCCATACTGGGACTGTGGCTGCTGGAAGCCAGGAGGTGCCTCGGGGTTGGGTTTTTGGAAGGATGATTGGGATTTAGCACCTACTGCAAGCCCTTGAGGGACTGCACACATTTGTACAAAAACGCTGATTTATGCTCAGGCCTGCCTGAACACCCATCATGCAGAATTCCAGGGCTTGTTCTTTCTTTCCCCACTACCATTCAGTTAAACTGGAACCTCTAGGAGAGGAAGGCTCCCATGGAGAGCTGGAGGTTTGCAGGGAGAGCAGAGCTCATCTAATCCCACTTGACCTCTGGTTCTTCAGCTCCTCAGTGTAGATCCACCCAAGGCACAGGAGCTGGCACCTGGAGCAGTGGTAGCCAGGGCTGGCAGAACTCTGCTGGCTGCTCCTCCTGATCCATCCCTGGCTGTAGCTGGGAGCAGGCAGGGATGGACACGGGGCTGGCCAGTGGGTGCTGTGTCCCTGCAGGATTTCATCAGCAAATCCAATCGCCTCCTGCTCCTTGGGGTGTCCCGAGGTGCCCTCACAGCCCAGAAAAAACATCCAGGCTGGGAGCTACCATCCCATGGATCCCTGCCTTTCAGGGAGCCTATTTCCAACTCCTGAGAACAAATGTGTTTTTCTGTCCCTTGTTTGCAGACCCTGATTGATAAAGCTCCAGCTCTGGTGAGCACGAGGAGTCTGGAGCCACATTAACATAGGAGATGGCAAAGGAAACGGTGGGAAACAAGGACAGTGCAAAGTCACAGGCAGGAGCAGGGGGAGAAGAGAGGCATTTAATGCATCCTCTGGCCATTTTCCAAGTGATACCTGCTGTGCTCAAAGACAAGGTAGCCAAAAGCAAATCTCCATCACTGGTCAGTGCCAATGTCCTCTGACCTGAGGCAGCTCTGCTGATTCCAGCTCTGCTCCTCCCCACCCCACCTGGGTTATTTTCCAGCTGTCCATGAGTAGGGGTCACTTGTCCCATAGGAAAGGACAGTGCACAGCCAGACCCAGCAGCTCTGTGCTTGCAGAGGGATGCATTCAGCTCACACCTGGATTGCCCACTCCTGTGCATCCTCCTGGGAAATGCAGCAGGCTCTGGGATTTGGGCTCCCAGCTGTGCCCAGCCCAGGCTTGCTTTCACCTCGGTCCCTCGGGTTTCTGTCCTCACAGCAAATCCTGAACTGCACCCCTGTTTGACATCCCAGTGCTCCTCACCCAGCTCCAGAGGGCTGCAGAGGCATTCCCAGAGCTCAGCCAAAGGAAGAAAGGGAGGCAGAACCAGCAGGAAGGGCCAGCAGGGGCAGTGCAGCAGCAGAAACAAACGGGGAGCACAGGGGGGCACAGGGGATGAAGGCAGGGGGACACCTCAGCTCCCAGCCCAGCAGGGAGGGATCGATGCCCTGGCACAGCCTCAGATCCAGGCACAGCAGCTCGGGAGGAGCCGCTCCGGGGGCACCTCAGGCAGAGCTCACGGAGCCTCTGGCACACAGAGGGAGTTTGCCTTTCCCTGAACCCCTCACTTTGAGCAGCTCTGCTCTCAACACCCATTTGTGCTGTGCCTGCTGCAGGGCAGGCAGATGGAACCTTCCCAAAGGGGATGCTCTCACAGCGTGTCTTTCCCTGCCCTTCTCCGGGCACTGGGAATGCTGACCCGAGCGAAGCCGAGTTCATCGAGGGCTCCCAGAAAACCGAAGGGGCTTTGAACCTCTTGGTGAGACATGGAGGAGTTTCCATCCCATGCAGGGACAGGGCTTTTCCCCGTGTATCCCAGCAGCGAGTGTTCAGAGGGAAACTGGAACAGAAAACACTGCCAAGGGACAAAGGTGTGAATTGCAGGTTCTTCAGAACCCAGGATAAACACTGTGTCATGCTACCACACAAATTGCCCTGGGATTTCACAGCCTGGGGGCTGCACCTTACCTGGTCCCTCAGCATGTGCAGTCACAGAAGCTGGGGATGCTGTGAGCCACCTTAGCTGAGGCTCCAGCTTGGCTGAGTGGATGAACACAGTCAGAGTTACATGGTTAAATACTTTTCACTGTTGTTAGCCAGAATCCAGAGCCCTGACCAATTCCCACCATGGCTGAGAGGTCTGAGCTAAAGCCCACAAGGGAAAGGGCCAGTGTGGTGCAGCCTGGGCAACATAACCCAGCTCCCAGAATAACATACCAAACCTAAGTGACATCTCTGAGAATCCTCTGAGGGACACAAATCAAATCAACAACCGCCTCAGTGTGCAACTCTAATAGTTCAAACTCTATACAGGCAGGACATTCTGCTTTTCCCCTTCCCTTTCTATTATTGAGAAAGCATGCAAAGGAAAAAAAGCCCAGTTTTCAAGTGAGCCAGCTTTTCTAAAGAACTGGATAGGTGAAGTCACACTAGTTATAATACACCAGCTTAATGCAAAATAAAAGTTTTTGCATTTTTATATATCAGTATTAATCCTGCTGCAGTGTTCATTATTCTGTTAGTTTAAACAGGCAAAAAAACCCCAATCCCCCACAGCTATGCAGGTTCTCTATAAAACACACCAGAACCCACCAAATCCAGCCACACACGGAATACAGTGACAGCAGCTCTTTAAAAACAATTCTATCTCAATGAACTGTTTCAGGACTGAAAGGTCACCCTTTTCCAAACCCAGCTACGTTTGTGACTCAGCAAAAATGTCACAGTTCTCTGTTTCGTTTTTATTTCAGTTCCCTTTTCAGACTCCCTGGCTCTGCTATGGAATGCTGCAAACACTTGTGTGGCACTGATGCCTCAGCCTCTTTAGGCTCTTTTTCATGGCTCTTTAAGTAACAGCCTCTGATTCTCAGCTCTCACAGCTGCCCCCATCTGACAACTCGAATAGTAAATAGTGAAAGATGAATGTGTTTTCAAAATTATTTTTATTGTTAAATGAATTTATATTAAAATTAGAGGCAGATGAGTTTTGCACTGACAAGACTATTCAAACAGCTGTAACCAGAGTTTACCAGTTTGAATATGGATCAGGTCCTCCTTCACTGGTTAACAGTAAAGCACGTAATTATAATTGTATAACCTTAAAGCCTCAGTTAGTCCAGTAAAAGCTGAGGGAAATAGAATAAATCAAGTCCATAAATACCATCAGCTGCTAAGCTACTGAAAAGAAATTCCAAGTGAAATAATCTTGCCTCCTCCAAATTTGCTCTCTGCTGTGAATGGTCCGGGGCTGCCTCTGTTGCTATGAAAAGGTCCCACCCACATCAGGCCTGGATTTTGTCCCCATTGCTCAATTTTCCCCAAGTGTTCTTCAACACCTGCCCCTAGCTTTTGCCACACCTTGCCCTGACACAGCCACTCAGTGAGAAAAGCTTTGCAGTTGGCTCCAGCCCTGCCTTTTGTTCATAGCCCCAAGGCCCTGTGGAGCCTGGCACCAATTAGGGGGCAGGTAATTAAAAAGTCTCTATCTCAGAGCCCATTTCTAGCACTGGGAAGGGCTTTTCCTCTTAATTGAAACCAGCTCATTCCTTCAAACCAGCCATTTTAAGGCCTGGTACTGTCCTTCACACTCATTGCAACTTTTCTGACCAGCACCAGCACATTTCCATGATTACAGACTCACCCTCCTAGGACAGAAAAAAGTCTGCCACACAGCAAACAAAGGCTCTGAGTCAAATCCACCAGGACCTCCCCAGAGCTCTGGCTGATAAAACTTTCAGCAGCTCCAGCCAGAACTTAATGTCTGGCGAACAAAATGTTCTGGAAAAGCGTCGTGCCTTCTATAAACACTTTTTTCTGGCATGTCCCTCTTGTTGTTTTAAAACCTGGAGAGGCTGACTCAGCCTGGCTTCTGCAGGAGCTAAGGGAACACGATGGGTCCAGGGGAAGGTGGAGGGAATGGAGCGGAGGGAATGGGGAGAAAAGCGAGAGGGGCAGAGCCGAGCCCTGCGCAGCCCCTGAACCACTGCTCGTGCCCAGCTGCTCACACGAAGTTTATGTACACATTGCCCACGTCCTTCAGCCCGTTTTTGGTACCCAGGCAATTTTCCAGCATGTCTTTTGTGGGCAGGGAGCTGTCAGTGCTGGTGACAAATTGCCGCAGCGCATTCCTGCCCGACAGGCGGCATTTCTGCTCCTCCTTGGCAAGGCTGTCCAGCAGGACTCCTCGGATGTCCTTGGGCTTCCCTGGCACGCCGAACATGACGAACAGGCCCAGGCAGTCCCGTCCCACCAGGCGGCAGAACTCGGCCAGCTTCTCAAACCTGCTCATGTTCTGGAAGCACTCGTCGGCCAGCGCGGCCTCCCGGCAGCACTCCTGGGCAGGGCCCTCGCCGCGGAACAGCTCGGCCGGCTGCAAAGCCTGCACGGCGATCTGGAGCTTCACCTGCTTGTCAGAGCCACACAGAGTCCAGACCCAGTCCACCCCGAACAGGGACGACTGCTGCTTGGTCATTTTGCTGGTGGTGATCTGCTCCTCCACGCCTTTTCCCACGCAGAAGCTGATGAAGTTGACCAGGAAGATCTCGCTCAGCGTGTTGGTGGCCGGCTGGAATTTGCTTTGAGGATCCACAAAACCCAGGTAGTCCTTCAGCCTTTGAGATGCGTGGAGCACACCCTGGCTGAAGACTTCACAGATGGCCAGAGTTTCAGCCTTGCTCTCCTGGTTGTCCTCCTGGGAGACTTTCTGGCCCATTTTCTCTGCTGGAGGAGGACGTTTCCACATGCAGATCTCCCCGGGGACAAACCTTTATTTTCCAGCAAAGGCTCTGCAGGTGCTGTGCTCAGCCAGAGCTGTTCAGCTGCACACGGATACCTGCAGCCTTCCTGGTGAAGGTGATGGCAGAGCTGAGCTCCGTGAGCCTGCGGGGCAGCCGGGCTTTCTCCTGGGTGTGTTTCTCCACAGCTGACTGAGCAGGGACCAGCCCAACAGGCCCTGTAGCTTTCACACTTACTGAATTCATCTCTGCTTGTTTTCCTTATTGTTAATTCCGGCACCATTGCTTTGGCTGATGTTATCTCATTCTAGTCTGATCTTATCTCCTTGGATCTCTTTTCCAGGACTATTGCACAGAAACCATTTTTTTGACACAGGGTGTTGCCTGGAGATGAAACCACCTTTTTCTTTTAATCTCTCAGAGAAGGGAGATTAACACTTGAGACCAGAGAGTCTCTTTCACAGCAAGAAGGGACAGAGCACCCTGGGAGGGCTCCCTGTGGAGCACACATTGAGCAATGATGATGCCGTTTCATACCAAACGACCCAAGATGGCTCAAATCTGGATCCCAGAAATAACTACAAAGTCTTGATATAGTTGATTTGATGATGCCACTTCTCACCACACCGAACAACCCAAGATGGTTCAAATCTGGATCCCAGAAAAGTCTTGATATAGTTGATTTCTTAGCTGATAGTCAAGCCCTGTTGCAGGCACTACTCACAAATGAATTACTGAGTCAACAAAAGAATGTGTGATTTTGCCCCTTTTCCCTCCTTTGTTTTTTGAATAGAACAGAACAAACTTCATTGAAAAATTAAAAGGAAAAAAAAAAAAAAAGAGGACATGTGAAAAAGGGAACCAGCTTCCAGAAGCACTTGGAATTTTCCACAGAATTTATTTGATTTCACATGGCAATACACAGCAGTTACAGTTTGCCCTCTCCAAACCAGTTAAACACCCTGACAGTATGGACAGTGTGCACACACACACATAAAAACCTCCTGACTTCATCACCTCTCGTGTCCCCACCCTGTAAGAGAACCAGGGTTCAGATGGCAGCTCCGAGGAGATGACCTGGCTGCCAGAAAGGGTTGTTTGGAGCAGAATGCTGCTTACACTGCACTTAAATAAACGATCACTGATAGCACTCCAGAGAAACTGGAGAGTGTTTGTGGCTATTTCAGCACAGTGTTGTGTCAATAGCTCCCGTTTTACCTCCTGTGAATACCCAGTCCTGTCTAGTAGCTAGTGACTAGTGAGAGCCATCCAGAGGAACATTTCTGTTTGGAAGCCTGCACTACATTTCCCAGTGCTTCCACACGTTCAACTTCCATGTAAATAATAACAATATTGCAGAGCATTCACAGAAAGAGAGGCCTGAATCCACATCCCAAGCATCTACACCCTAAACCTGCCCACATTAAATTCTGCATCTTGGTACATCAATAATCACCTACACTGCACATCCTTCAAAGGTCCAGGTTACCAGTTTACATCATTCTAATGCTGGAATATGCCTCTGATCTGAGGGGAGTTCCCTGAAAATCCTGGGAAGAACCTTTCTTCCTTTCCTAGCTTTGTTAACAGTGTTTTAGAAACACCCCACACAGTCAGCACAAACCCCAAATCCCCTGCACAGGGTGCACACACCAGGAATGGTCTCACTTCCAGCAAGGAGAGTGACAAAACGAGTGACAAACGCTTGGCAAAGCAACACCACTGCAAGGAACAATTCCAGCTGGACTTTTGTTTGCCTTTACAGAGCAAAGCAGCTTCATGCCATTGTGCTAAAATACATGCAACGTTCAACACCATACAAATGACCACTGGAATGAAAAGTTACTTCTGCTTGTTTGTTTGTTTGCTTTTGGCTAGGACACCTTGCAGTACTGGAAGTGTGACACAAGATTCCCACTAGCTAGTTAGGAATTTTAAAACCTGATGATCCTCAAGAGCAGAGGAACTGTGCTTTAAGAAGGTAAAATGATGAGCAACACATTTGATATCTGAATTTTGGAGGAAAAGTCCCACCTTAGGCTTAATAATATGAAATAATATATTTCCTATACATTTCTCTATATAACTTTATTTTTTTTTTGCAACTACACCATCTTCACATTAGTCACAGCACAGAAATATCCCTTCCATATGCAGGGAGTACTCTCAATTTTAAGGAAATTTTTAAAGTCATGGAAGTGTTAATAACCTTGTTGAATGCACTAACTACTGCTGCTGGGGACAAGAAAGAAGACACTTTAAACTGTGCAGTTTCTGGATGAGTCACTGCTAGAAGAAACATGCTTTAGAATTGTTTCATTTCTAATGGAAAATCATTAAACTGTGCACTCAGTAAAAAGCAACGAAAGCAAACAGTTCCAAAGGTCAGCCTGCCTTTCCCAGTAACCAGCTGGTTTGCAAACTGGCATAATTTTTTTACAACCTTCTCCCTTTCCCTCGCACACCTGCAACTTTCCATCACTCTATCTCACAAAATTTAAATTTTTGCTTTTATACGTACTTCATATACTTATTTTTTCTTTTCTTTTTTTTTTTTTTTTTTTTTATAAAACAGTATAAAAATAGGAACAACAGTCAAGAGCTACCGAGGAGCTTACACGGGGCACAGATGACAAAAATCCTACATTGGATAGGGCTGAACTGGTGTTTGTGCCAAAGAAAAGCACCTAGAAAAGAGCAATAACTTCAATTTTTCAGCTGAGAGCGCAGAGAGAGCTGATGCACGGTATCTACAGATGCAACACTTTTACCTGACACCTTGTTCTTTTCAAACAGTATAAAGGATTATCTGAGGCCATGAATAAGCAAAAGGAGCACTATCATACCACATCAATTTCAATGCAACACTCTGAAACATATCACCAGTTTGTACATTAAATAGAGTTAAAATGATTACCATTCACCAGTGTCTGGGTGGTTTTTATGGCAACTTACGTAGGCACCTTGTATTTTCTCCTTTTCTCTTTAAAGTTCTCCACCCCTCAGTGTTACTTCTAACAAACAGAAGCAAGAGCAATGCAAAGTCCATGATCTGCTGCCCCTTATGTGGAACAGGGATGTCCTTGCACGCAGGAGAACGAGCCTTTGTCAGTGCCTGGTGGTGACTGTCACACATTGGAGTCCTCATCTGTTATACTGGTGCTAGGAGAGCGAGTGGCAAAGTCTTTGAACATTTCATCTTCCTTCAGCATGTGCTGGAAAGGAAAGGAGGGAAGAGTCAAGGTTTCTCACAACTGGAGTCAGTCACCTGTCCTGTGCTGGGCAGCAAACACTGCCTGCCAGCCACTGCTTTGTTCTGCTGAGGAGGTTTTCACCCATCCTGCTCACTGCTGTCTGCTGGCCCCAGTGGCTCGGGGCTTCCACCCAGAAAATGCAGCCAGCTGCAAACCCACTGCCCATGGGCAATGGGGGCTGCCCTCCCTGCTGTGTGGGGAGCCAGCACAGGCCACCAAACCTCCCCACCAGGATGGGCAGGTACCTTCCTGAGCCACTTGGTTTTCTTGTGCCCTCTGTCCCTGCAGAATACCCAAAGGACCTCGCTGACACAATGTTTACCGTGACTGCCAAGGGGGTCACAGCCATTCCACAGAACCAGAGACCTTACTGCACAGACCCCACACACAGACTTACCGTCAAGTTGTTGATGCCTTCAGAAAATGCTCCTATTTGCCTCACTGTCCCTTCTGAATCTTCCATCTATAACAAAGAGAGAATGATTCATGAATTAATAACTTATTTGTATCATAGAGTGGAATCACAGAATGGATCGGGTTGGAAGAGACCTTAAAAATCATCTCAGTCCAATCCTCTACCATGGGCAGGGACACCTTCCACTATCCCAGCTTGCTCAGAGCCCCATCCAGCCTGGCCTTGGACACTGCCAGGGATGGGGCAGCCACAGCTTCTCTGGGAAACCTGTGCCAGGGCTTCAACACCCTCACAGGGAAGAACGTTTTTCTAATACCCTAAACCTCCTAAGATCTAAACCCACCCTCTGTCAGTGTGAAGCCATCTCCTCTTGTCCTGCTATGACAGAGTGACAATTAAGTCCAGCATACAATTTACTGAGTACACCTGAGATGTTCAGACCAAAGGAGAAGCATGGCCTGTCAGGAGAGAAGAATTACTCCAGAGCAGGCCCTAAAGGTGCTGCATTCACAGCTTCAACCTCCTTGGGAGCAGACCTTTTGTCACTAATGCTGTGTGACAGCAAGAAGTCACGGCCTTCATGGGCCAAAGCAAAAGAAATGGAAAGGGAAATGGAAGGTTTTCCCACCAGACCTGACAGCTCAAAGACTTAGAATTGTTAGAACTGGCTTACCTGCTCCAGCCTGTCCAAATCATCATCATCATATACTCGGATATCCAGGCCAGGCTTAAAGCCCTTCTTTGATCCACTGCCAGATGCCCTCCCCAGCTCCATAGGACACACATACTCCTCCATATCATCCTGCTTCTTCTTCCTCAGGCTCCCAAAATTGCTGAAGGTAAGTTTCTTTGGCTTAAAAATGAAAAGAAATTTGCCAAGGAGTTAGAGAATCAGCAAAGAATTAACAGGCCTATTCGTGCCCTCTTGTGTTTCCACGACAAAAAGAAACCTCAAAACCTCAGTGCTCTCCTACACAGATATTCTGAATTTCATGACAGTGGCATCTCAAAGGACAATGTGTCCTTTCATTCTACCACTGTTAGGACACCACCATTCAACAGATCCCAAATGAGGTCAAAATTCCACATTAAACCATGAGTAAGGGACTGTCTCCCTCCCAAACATCTCTCAGTACAAACAGAAGGACAACACAAGTGATACCTCTTGTCTGTCCATGTCAGACTGGCTAAGAAGTGGCCTGTTCATGGCAAACACAACTGTCGACCCCAGATCTGCCAGGTGCAGCTCTCACGCTTCTTTCTTTAGGAACCAACCCCTTTTCTCAGCCCTTACTGAAGTGCCCTCCCAGCACACACAGAACCAGAGATCCAAATGCCTCCCTGGAACCTCCCACCCCTCCCAGAACAAGGGGCTTACCTTGACTTTGGCAGTTGCTGTCAGGAGGACATAGTCTGGGGACTCCATGGCCTCACGTTTCTGCTGCTGGGCCTCCTGCCCCACCAGGAGGTTGAAATGAGTGGCCAAGTGCCGCCTCAGCAGCGTCTTGTTGGGTGGGATGTTCAGCAGCTGGGCCATGGTTTCTACATTGAAACGGGGCTCCAAAACCTGGGAATCCAAGCACAGAGAATCCAGCTGAAGCCAGTATTGTTTGATGAGATCTCAAGGACATCCTATCTTGGTCACTCCCTAAGACTGCTTTGGGATTTTTGTTTGCATTTTAGAGGAAATATACTACAAAGAAGAAGGAAAGAGAGTTAAATAGTGAAAGGATTCCTAAAATGAGACCTCCAGGCTTTCCTTCTGGAGTTATACATAGGAACAAATTGGCAGGTAAGAAGAAATGAACAGATAAATCCATCCTTAACTGAAGTACAGTGTGAAGCTGCCACAAAATCTTTACCCAGCATGATCTTCCAGTTCTGGAAAGGGTAGCCAGAGGAATCATGGAAAATAAACAGACAAAAT